GCATTTAATATTTCTTAATTAAATTATATGTATAAGTCTATGAATCTGATAAAAACTAACTTTTTAAGCAGGGATATGCTGTGAAATCTGAATAATAAACTTTGAAGAACCGCGGGAATTTATAATAATTCTCTAAGTAAATAAAACCACTTGTTTCTAGGATATAATGTCCTATAAATGTATACATATTTTGAGATATTTTAACATATTTTGGTTATATTTTCGAGCAGTGTTCCCACTTATTATGCAAAATGCCGCACATGGACCGTCGGTTGATGACCAGAGGGCCGAAGGAGGACCAAATGGTTTGGACATGTCATGACGGAGCGCGTCTCATTTATATTGCATGGCTGCAATGCCAGAAATGCCTCTGAGGCAGGACCAAAGATAGTATATAGTATATAGTAGTACAGCCAGGCCGGGGCTGGTTTTGCATTGAAATTCATGCAAATCCATGGAAAAAACTAAGATGAATAAAAAAAAACTAAATGTGCAAAAATGTGGCACAAGGCCGTGTGATGGCACAAAAGTTAATTGAAATGCTATCAAAGCATATTCAATTAATTTAAATTAGCTCAGCGCGGCACAACACAAAACGCAATGCCCGCGGCACTGGGACCGAAGCCGGGGCCACAACCAAGTTTTCCAGCTTTCCCGCTCTCGTTTTCCACTCGACGGCAGCGATGTTAATTATATGCGCCAAGGCTGCCGCTCTGCCAAACTAAACTAAATGGCAAAAGTTTTCCCCCCTGTCAAACCAAAAGCAACGACTGCCAATGATAAGAGAGCGGAAAACCTCGGGGAAGTTGGGAAAATCGGTGGAGTGGAGGGAGGCCACCTACGCCTTCATTAATCAATTATTGCAAACCATTTACTTGCCTTGTTTTCGGCTGAACAGCGACAATCAGCCATCAGCCCCGGGCCAAAATATTTATTAAAAATGTCTAGCGAAATGTTAATGTAAAGCAAATCGCCTCGAGCAACTGTCGCAAGTGTGTCCATCAGTGTCGTCGTTTCAGTTTCTGGCATCTCAAGTGCGATGGCGAATGTAATTTTGTTTATTTCACATGTCGGACGGAGCTGTCAGCTCATTGACAATGTCAGAATTCCAATCAAAATGCAAATTAATAATAAACAAAAATGGTTTGGCATTTACACTCACCCTTCGTTGCTCTTTCTCCTTGATGAGATCAAATTAAATTTCAATTAGCTGTCATTGGGCGTGTTAAGATGGAGCGACATAGATGCAAAATTTAGACAATTGGAAAACCTTTTGACGCCTTTCCCAGAGTGCTTGCGGTTGTTATTATAAGGGCAATTGGTACCTTAGCCATGTATTTATTGAATGGAAATTGAATATAGACGATTCCAGATAGGATAAACTAACCTGATATCAGAGTAGAATAAACATTAACAAAAGAACTTTCCGAGATAAATTTAATAAGCTCAGATATTAATTAGATCCTGGTCCTGCTACGCTTATTAACCTTTTGAATTCAACATTTATAGGGACATGCAGCAGTGGGCGAAATGGTTGGTCAAATGGTTAGCCGCAGATGGTCAAAAGCATCAGTTTTTTTTTTTTTTTTTTGCCTTTATGCAACTAAATTATTTAGTTCTGTGGCCGGAAAACAGAGGCAACCCCAGAAGCAAAGTATGCAAGTGGTACTGCGACCACGATGGTACTGCCAGTCGGCAACTGGCCAAAAACTCACTGACATGGCCAGGCATCAAATGATTGCCCCAGACACTTTATAATGCATGAGAGTCTGCAACAGAATCAGAAGCAGCAGCAGCAGCAACAATAATGACGGCAGCAGCAGGAGCAACAGGAAGAGGCCGCACAATGAGCATGAACACGAGTAACCAAATTATTTATATTTAAATTGTTTTGGTTGCTGCTGCACTCGTTGTTGCCTTTGAGTTTCGCATGTCTATTTGCCGTGCATACGAGACACCCTGGCACCCCGGCGTCCGCATTACGGAGCCCCCTGGATATCCTGAATTTACCCCCTATTATCCACCATCCCCCCACACAAACGAAAGCAACTCCCCCAGTGAATCCTTCGCTTTCGTGGCCATGATTATGTGGCAGCGGCAGCCTTTGACTATGTCGAAAAAGTGGTGTGAGATGGTCATACACGGTTGGAAATATGATTGAATTTATAAAGAAGACTTTGAAATATAATGTAGAAATAAAGGTTGTATAATTATAAGGACTCTAATTGAAATATCTTTTGTAATATTAAGTCTGTAGATATCTTGTGGCACTCGTTTGAAAATGTTGATATAATTTGTGTACTAAGAAAGGGCTTTAAATATAAACTATCCTTCTAATTAATGAGAAACTAGGGTAGCTTATTTGGGGAAGCAGTATTATTTGTTTTAAATAATAGGTACATATGTAACCCCTTATTATTATGGATCTTTATTTTGTTCTTAGAGGCTAGTTAACCTGAAATAGAACATATAGATTTCTAGGATCAGAAGTGCCTTCAGTACTCCTAAGCCCCTTCACTTATCAATCAAATAAGAACATACTCAGCACTTTAAATAATCTAGAACTTTAATTAATACCTGAAAATGATAATAATATATATTTTCTTCGAGTGCTTCCGGCAGACTGGATCCGTGTCCTGACCAGAACCCCGCGTGAGCTTTATTTATGCATTTCATTTGGGTCTGCTTGCTGGGTGGAGGCAACTTTTGGGGCAGAAGAGATGGGGATTGTCTGTCGGGTTGCGTTGCCGTTGCCGTTGCGACTCGCCTTTGAGTTGATGTATTAAAAATTTTCACACATGGCAGTTGGCTGGCTGGTTGGTCGCCTGCGAAGCATCCTCACAGCTTGCACTGAAATTTGATTTTCCGGCACCCACCCGCTGAAGCCGCGGAAAAACCGTCCGGGCTCCTTTCATCTGGAACTTTGGCCGTGCACTTTTCGGCGCTTGATTTTCGTTGAAAATGCGCTGGTTTTTCCCTTGTCCCCCCTTGCCGGAATACGCAACTCTGCCGGAGGTGGGGAGGAGGTTCACCCGGCAAAAGCTTTTGACGGTGCGTTCATTATGATTAGCAATTTTCCACGGATGAGCTCAGAACGAGTGTGTGGTGCTGGTTTGGGGTGTGTTTTGCGTCGGGGGAATGCCTGGGGTTTTTAATAAGAATTTTTGTTGGCTTAACGCTGCATTCGGTAGCAGATGGAGCGAAGGTGAGCCAGGTAGAGAGAGTTAGCGAGTGGCTTTTGTGGATTTTGTCAGGTGCACCACGGTTACTTATTAATTTTGGCTGGATAAGCACGAGAACAGGAAGCTCATGTTACATTATAAAAACTTTTTCCTCCAAAAAAACCCTGTTTGTTTAAGTAAGCAGATAGAGCTAACAGAATTAGATATTCAAATTTGATTTGAACATTTTTATTAGCACTCTTGAGACTTTTCTATAACCAAGGAAGTGCTGCTCTTCAAAATAAACTTTTTGCTACTAAACTATGCTTAACAAATTTATAGAAAGTTGATCTTTTAGTGTGTCTGCATTGAAAGATGACTCTTGACATTTTTGATGAACTCAACATCTTATATCTTTTGCCTTGTAATTTTTCTCTCTTTTTTTTTGAGTAATGTGAAAATGGCGTTTGTATTTTTTACTATTAACCATAATGCTACTACGCTTTCTTCTTCCACCATCTCCTGACATCTTTGTGGCATATTCGCACATGGAATTGCATTTTCGCGTCATTGTTTGATGGCTTCCGCTGCATATCCTTGCTACTTAAGCTTCCTTTCTGGTTGAAGCGCTTCCTGTTTGCCATTCCTTGCCATTGTGGCGTCTCCTGTTGTTGTCACATTGCACATACATAGATAGATAGGCACCCCGTGCGGATCCACACTATCCAGAAATGCATTTAACATTCGTTCGGTCGTTTTTCTTTTAGTTTATATTATACTTTCTTATATATTTTTTTGTTGTGTGTGTAATTTTATTGCTCATGTTGGGAGACTCCTTCGAGCAGCTTCAGCTGTAACTGTAACGCATTGTTGTCAGCGGCAGCGCGTGCCACATCCTTTTGGACCGAGTGTATCTAGTTTTTCTCCGGCGAAAATGCCAACATGAAAATTGCATAATCCACGCATCGCGATTTATGACTTTTGTGCCAGCTTGAGTGATGGCAGGACAAACAAATGTGAGGGAAATGTTGCAAACGAACAGCGGAAATGCAAAACCGCCTGTCACTTTTTGTGCCACGCAAACATTTTCATAAAAATGACATAATATCCTTCAGACCGTGCAGCTTTCTCTCTTTCTCTCTCTTGGGAGATGGGAGGGAAATATCTAGGATGCCATCGTCCTTAACCGCAAGGCATTACCATCGAAATTCTGAGGTTAATCAGCAATTTAGTGCACAAATTGATAGGCATCTTAGCTGCGGCACCGCAGCGGCGATTGTTCAATTAGCCGCCAATGCAGTTGGCCTAAAACAATGCCCCGGCCACAAGCAGCTTTCCTTCGAGAGCCAATCGAATGCTGCATAATTAATTTGCCAAATTTCGGGGCAGCTGCACTTGACTTGAGCCCGAGCGGGGTCAAAGTTGCACAGGAAAATGAAAAGGGTGAGTTATTTTCCAAATTTCAATAAATATATTATAAATATTTTATTCTTAAAATCTAGAATAGAATCTTAACATTTAAAAATATAGAAATGGGGTATAAATTTCCCTGACAAACTATAATTTTCACTTGCAAATTGCTCCCCAATTATGTACAGTGTCTTAAAAGCCCCTCCAGTACATTTCTAAATATCTCTTTCTTCCACTGTAGCCCCTTCTCTTTCACTCGCTTAAAGTCTTATTGCGTGAGGCACTTTTGTTGAACATTTTGCGGCCAAATATGAATGGGCGCGCATAAATTTGTGACACTTTTTGTGGCATTTTACGAGGCAGGTCCATTAAAATGGGGCCACATGTGCCACACACACCACACACAGGGACTCACACTTAAACACTCACTGGGAAGCTCAGTCGCAGACAGGGCCAGGCCTCCAGGATGTCCGATGTGGGGAAATAAAATGAAATACATAAATTTTGCAACGATTTGAGAGACCGCATTTTATAATTGAATCACGTACGACATTTTCAGAGGCGCGCGCACACGCGGAAATAGGAAATAAGTTTTCCCCGCTGATATAAATTAGAATCTTAAGGGATTGCCATCGCTGTCGACTTAATCAATTCTGGGTGCTTTCTTAGGAGTTCCTCGACCAGAGTGTTCACTGTGAAAAAGTTAGATGAAAAGTAAAATATTTAAAGTAGACTTTAGTGACTTATTATATTTTAACAGTAAGCTCAAAGGAAACCTTGCACTTTGTAATTGATTTATAAGATCATATCGGAAACCGGTCATTACTAAACTTAAATATTCAAATTCTTTGAATCTATATTTATTGATATTATATGGAAATTTTTTCGATATATCAAAATTTAAAAAATTCGTAACTTAGCCAAAAAAGCATTAATTTCAATTCAGAAAGCTTCCCTATCTTAGTTTTTATTAGGTTAATAAATTTGCTCACTCAATTTAAAAATTAAAAAGATTTAAATTTTTGTCAATTTTTCTTGTAATAACCATGTAAAAATTTGAATGAAAATTTCGAAAAAATTTTTAAAATTTATTATTGTGCCTAAGACGGCTATATCGATTCGCCTATCGATGCTGATCAAGAATATATATGATTTATAATGTCGGAGATGACTTCTTCACATCGTTTCAAGCTTCTGACTAAAATTATAATACTTTACAGGATTACAAAATGATCATGTTTTTTAAAGAGGATTTAATATATTTAATTAATTATTAGGTTACTGGTTTGTTCACAAAGTATTTTAATTAACAAAGCCGTTACAATTAATAGTTATGAAGCGTCTGTAAAGTTCTTTTCACACAAAATAGAGCATTTCAAGAAATTCAATTTGGTATTTACGGTGTTTAAAATTCAAAGGCATGATTACAACTATTTTAAATATTTTTAAAACAATTTCCCACAAAGAGACGACCATTTTTGTAAGTATTTATTTAGATTCCAGTCGTTAATACAATTTGTTTTCCATGCTTTTCTGCAAGAGGCTGCATTTTAAAAGCTCCGCCTGCCAAAGGCTGGCAATTTATGTGACTTGTTTGGCGGCGCAGAAAAGTTGCATCGAGTTTTTCTTCGGCACTTTTGGCAGCCAGCAAAAGTTGCATGTGTGCACTTCCGTTTCCGTTTATTAGACCGTGAGTGTGTGTGTGTGTGTGTGTGTGTGTGCGTACGAGTGTGTGAAAAGAAAAGGCAACCTTTTGATTTACTTAGAGGCCGCGGCACGTTTCCTCCAAAGAAACGAACAATTGCCAATTCGCAAACAAAATACAAATCGAAGACGATACGAATTGAGCTCATGCAAACTTTTTGTTTTATGGCCAACACATACAGGGAACACATACACATACACTCACAGAAGCATTTTGAGAACGACACGCCGACATTTTGTATCAGTGTGTGCACACTCCATTGAGCCCCAATGATGCGTACAAAATGCAACAGCAACAATTTTCGACATTTTTTTTAAATGGTAATTTTTTCGCCATCTCTTTTCGATTTCATCCCCTCTCCGCCTCACCACCTTATTTTACTTTTATTTTCCCGCTTTCCCCTATCCGATTTTCCATGCCACATAGAGAGCACATTACATGGAAAGCGCTTTTCCATTATTCGTTATTGTGGCCGCTTGCTCTTTGTGTGTTTGTTGTTTTGCCATTGTCCGCATAAAAATGCATTGATTTTATCAAGTGAAAAAATCAAAAATGTTGACATGGCCGCCACATGGGGCAATAAAATATGGTAAGTGCATCGGTGGGTGGTCATATCCTGGGGCGCAGGATCAGGGAGACTTGATATCTCCGCCGATTTACATTAGTTTTGTGGGCAATTTATGCGCAGGCAAATATATAGTTAAATCGGTTTGCTGCAAACTTTTTAAACAAATTCGGTTATGCAGATATATTTTGGCAGCAAAATGCGGGCTAGCTTACTTTATTCTATTTTTTAAATAATGGTACTGATGTTCCTAGCTAAATATGAACATCTAAATAAAGGTACTTGCTTTAATTTGTAATTTTAATAAAAGGGATTTCTGAAGATTTAAAGAAATGCAACCATAAAATGCAGGGAACTCTACGATTTTATTAAGGAAAAAGGTTTCGTTCTTTATTAGAAAAAGATTGTCTCAAGTTAGGCATAGTAAATTTAATATTTTCTTTACTCTAAAAATACCACTTATAGTCTAAATTTAAAATATATTATTTAAAAATTCATTTCTGTTTGGTTTACAGGAAATTCCCATTTTAAACGATAACGTTCCGATTACTAATTTGTTCTAAAAGCCAAGGCCAGTGGGCCGCATTCATCTAATTGGCTAAAACTAATATGTGGCCCATGTTTGTGGAGTCTTTCGAGTGTTTTGGACAACAACACCGGGAAACTTTGCTGGCCAAACCAAAAACAGCTAAGCATGCGGCACAGCCAAGTGTCTAAACCAGGCTCGCCGTTCAAGTTTAGGCCCAGTCCCAAAGCCCAGACTGAGGTTTGGGGCTGCTTTGCGGCATTTTGTCGAGATTTGTTGAGAATTTATGCGCTACCTTGGAGAATTTATGAGTTGCAGTCGAGTGAATTATTTTATCATACGCATGCAGCAGCAACACACTAAGGCATGCCCCTTACTCGATCCTGTGGGTAAATGAGTGTGTGTGTGTGCCGGCATGTAAAGTGCTTGCCACAACAAGCTGCAGCAGCAGCAGCAGCAGCAGCAGCAGTAGAGTTTAAGCTACTAATTTCACATGCAAAAGTCTTCACTAAGCTGGCATTTTAATCTTGGCCAAGTGGTGGTGTGCATCGGGCGTGGCTATGGGCTTGTAAGTAATTAAGCGCTCGCACTGCCAAAATGCCTACACACTAAATAATAGCATTGGCCGGCACTGGCATTTTTTGAGTTGCACAGGAAAAAATTGTAAACATATTAGTTAAAATTTTATAGGTATTATCTTAAATAGAACACATGTATTTGGAGTATTATAAAATAATTTATATGAGGTTTAAACTGGGTCAAAGAGTCCACTAAAGAATATACAAATATTATCTTAAATAGAATACATATATTTTGAGTATTAAATAATAATTTATATAAGGTTTAATCTGGGTCAAAGAGTCCACTAAAGAATATTCAAATATATTTAAATTTCTAAAAATAAAATCTTGTTAAATATTTCTGTAAAATCCCTTATTTTTCCTTGGTGTAATTCCCAAAAGAAGATTTGTTGAAGTCTAGCCTGCAGAACGATTGATATGGTTTTCCATTGAGGAAAAGCACTCAAAGTCCTGTTGAACAGTGTAGTCAAAATGTCCTTATTTTATTTTATAATTTTAATTGTTTTTTAGAAGAACAATATACTTCACATAAGGATTCATGCCATAAATTATGGATTTAAAAAAATTTTCGAAATGTAAATTCATTAAATATTGTTTAACATAAGATTACTCTTTAATTATAAGCTTAAATAAATACTAAAGTTTTCAGTTGATTAAATGTTAATTGATTAATTTATATAAAAGAACACGTCTTCATAATTCCCATTCGATACCAATGAATTTTCCCAAAAATACCCTTTTGGCCATCACTGCTGTCGAATATCCTCACCTGGCTGATGCTTCTGGTCCTGATGCTCCTTCTGCTGTAGATCCTTCTGCTGCTCCTCCTGCTGCTGCTCCTGCCTTTGCCATTGTACTTAGGCCTAATGCCTTAGACTTGTTTGCAAATTGCATTGGGATAACAACAAGCTGGCGACGGCCAGTCGCTTCTGATTTGGGCTCCCCATTGTAAGGATTCTTCTCGCAGGACTCTCGGGCATTGTTCGTAGTGTGCCGTTGCCGTTGCTGTTGCCGTTGCCAGGTGTCTAGATTGCAGTTCGTGCTCTCGAGCCCGGGCTAATCAATTTGCATGCTGCGCAAACTGATTTACCTGCCTGCTGCTGCTGCTGCTGCCACCTGTCGTCTCACCTTGGCCTCCTCCAGCTCTTGCCGCTGGCTTTTCATTTAATTTCCAGTCGGCATCGGCAGCTTTTCATTCGCTTGCTGCACATTTGCATTCCTAGCGCCGAGTCACGTCACACTCGAAATGAAAAAAGTTTTTTAATTTTACACATGCTGCGATTAAGATGTCAAAATGTCAATTGTTGCCAGTAAAATAGCGAAGCAATGCTAAGGAAACTATTTCAAGTATTGCAATTTTCCTGGAAAATAATTGTCTACAATTTTAATAAATGTACTTTGAGATATAAAAAACAATATATTTCCATTTTTGTGATATTTAATACAAGCTAATAACGATGTATAGAAAGTATCTGAAGTCATATAGTTATGCTACTACAATGTTACGGGTTAAAATCAATATATTTAGAATTTAAAGGAACTTACAAATACAATTTTATTAAATCTTAAAGGAAATAATGGAACAAATGAAAAATTCATATAGCGCTTACTATCAAAAGCTTAGCTAGCATCTTTACTAAATACATAATAGCCTCTGGCATATTTAATCAACACTGCATTTTTATATTTCCTTTAATTTAAAGTCTTCATTTTAAATATTTTTTCTTTGACTGTTAAGCCAAAACAATTATTTTGCTTTATTATTTTCTTGAAGGCTACATATCAGTAATAATATTTAATACCCTATATTTATTTCGCATGCACACATTTACTTAAAAACGCATGGACTTTATCACACACTTACTTATCGTCGGCTGCTGCTGCCCTTCAATTGACCGCAGGTGTTTTTATATCCACCTGCTAACTCTTCTCATTTTGATCTCTTCTCTTATCATCTCTTTCCCATCGCTCACTTCGGCACTTTAAATCGTTGCTTACCTGGGCAAATCGATCGGCTTATCAGTAATAACGATCTCTAGCGGCAGAGAGCGAAGTCGAAGACAAGATAACTCTTCTAATTTTGATCTCTTTTCTTATCATCTCTTTCCCATCGCTCACTTCGGCACTCTAAATCGTTGCTTACCTAGGTAAATCGATCGGCTTATCAGTAATAACGATCTCTGGCGGCAGAGAGCGAAGTCAAAGACAAGATAAGAAAACGAAGAATAAATTGCCATTGACTAAAATTGAGGCGTACGTGCTGCTGCTAAAGAATTTGTGGTCCAGAAAAAAAAAACGATTAATAATACTTAACAAATACCTAAATCATTACAACTAACTGCAGAACACTTAATTAAGAT